AACTTTTGCGCGAACGAAAGTTTCCATCTATTTTCGATTGCACGAAAAATTTCACAAAATGTAGATACGGTTACCACGTCCCAGCTAGCATTGTGTGCATTTATTTGCCGCGTTTATCCCGCAAAAAAATCGTCGAATCTTGTTGTGCACCAGACTATTTTGGAATGCCGAACTAGATTCTGCCAAAATATAAGCCTCGGTCCATCCGAACTTCTTTACACAATTAATAGAGGCATTTGCAGCCTTCGGATTTGCAGAGATAAAGACTAGTTTTCTCCCTTGATTTACGGTTATCCCTGAAAGTGCAAGCAGAAGGAAATATACCCCTACGCAAGTTTAGTCATGTACCTTTCGCGTGTAAAAGTTTGGCAACGATTCAAATAATTTTGGGGGTTAATTTTTCCCCCCAGATTGCTCGTACTTTGTTATTCAACAGGTGTTCCGGAACTGTCTCACAAACTCCGCACAAACGGCCATCACGGATAATTTGAGGCCATCAGACCAGCACATACTTCTCTTGACATTGCTCTTTGACATTTACACAGAGGCAGGCTAAATTCCTTGATGCGTGGTACTCTTTGTGTTTGGGACTTGCTTTCATCTTTTTTTTTGGAGGGGGGGGGGAGGAGATATAATGCAGTCTGGGGGAAACTTCAGGAATTAGTCTACAGCCACACCTAGTCGCCAGACGATTTTACCCGGACAGGCTACCCATCGCAGTATATAGTTGTTTTAAGGCATTCAGGATGATTTGTATTTATCCCAAAAGTAGCCTACAGAATTAGTATCAGAAGGTTTACTTGGATTAAAGATCGTACCGGTACTAAACAACCCGTACTATATTCCCAAGTTATGTCTATTTTACAAAATTTAGCTGTCCACTACGAATATCCATACAATGAAACATGAACGCTTCCCCAACTCCATGAATGGACGATAACCTGCACAGGGAAACGGATCGGACAAAATCGCCATCAATATTTCGTAGAAAAAGAAGTTGGCTTGTTCCTCATATTGAAAACACAAAACTTTGACAACAAAAATAACGCTTCAGTCTTGACTTAAATGATTAAATCACACAATGTGTGCAAACTGTGTATATAAACTGTAATTATTATCACTCGGCTCGCTTCCAATGGCATTCCATGGACAGCTATAAATTAGTGTTTTTTTTCTTAGTAAAACTTGCATGCATAACTTCTGATAGCATAGATCAATTTCAGTAATTCTTTTTTTCTTCTTCAGATGAGTGGAAGAACATGCTCCTTTATACTTCGTTGGTGTATCAAATTTGATTACTTTTTAAGGAAGAAAAATCATTAATCAAGGTCAGTGTCTTTTTACTCACCCTGTATGCATATTTAGTATGTATACACACAGTGGAAATATAATGGTTATTTGTAGTGTTCCTTATAATTAAGGGTGTGCGCATAATCTCGGTTTACATGCATGGTGTTGAATTTGAAAGGTTTGTTAATTTCAGAGGAACGTATATTTCTTTGGGCGTCGTTTGAATAAATTAACATTTTAACATCTTAACATTTGAAAAACAGTTTTAAAATTGGGAGGTATGCAGGCCCTCTCTACCTACATTTGACAGCAAAAATATAACTTGGCCTTCACTTTTCCCAACTTGACCCTTTGCCAGCAACTTAGGTTTGTTCTCCACCTGTCGGCTGTAATTGTGGTCCGTATTTTTGGCACTTTGTAATTGATAACTTCCTTTCACCCGCAAAATGGAGGTATAAATATGCCCCGGACAGGACACAGGGGTGAAAAGTCACGTGGGGAACACAGGGTAGCACCGCGTGAATCACCTCTAAAGTGACGTAATCTCGTCAGGTGTCAATCTAAGAGCCAAATATGGCTCTAGAGTCCGTGCCAGCTTCAACCTTTGGTTGGTAGACCAAATTCTCTCTTTTCCGTTTATTGAAGGCCATGCACTGTTATTGTTTAAATGCAATCCTTGGAAATGCACCTTTGTGTCCCATTTAACCTTATTTTCAAATTTCGTTGTGCATTTTAAGGGTAATTTTGTGGTTTCTTTAAGCTAGTGCGAAATTCCATATTCATGAGCAAAACTGTGATGTCGTTCCGGGCAGAAATCTCACAGCTTTTTCAGCACAAACAAAATATTTTGCTGTCGTGCATTTTTTTTTATGTGGTGATTCGTTGTTGTGTCACTTCATGGCGGTAAGCCAGTGAGCAAACCTGTCTCACAAATGTTTTCAATGAGCAATTTTTGGGTTGACAATTCCACAGAAAACCCCTAAACTGAGCAGTGTCTTCCTGAAATGACATCACAGCGACAGCGCCCTCAGCTGTCCGGTAAAGCATGGAAAATTTTAAGTATACTTTTCAATAAGTGTACTTTTCAATAAAAGTAGCCACAAAGGATGTCAAATAGCTTTCATACATTTTAAGAGGAGCAGAAAGTTGTACAAAATGTGTTCTTATACCAATTCATTGCATGAACCCTTTAAGTGTGCGTTACTTTTGAGAGCGTCTTCAGTTACTCGCAAGTTCCATGTTTGGAGTGGCCGAACTCGATTGGATGAAAGTAGAGAAGAAGCATGACAATTAAATCAGGTTACACCATGGATAAGAAATGTAAGGCAAAGACGTATTTTGGTGTAGATGTTACAGGTCAGACGTTTTACATTTTCAGCGGAGTAAAAATAACCAATTTCGTTCAAAGTTGCTTTTCATGTCTTGCGACAAACTTTGTCTATAATTGTGGAGAAAAATTCAATCTGTTGGAGAACTGCGAGGCGTAAGGCAATATTGTATTGTTTTACTTTGTTGCAATCCTGTTAGTTGATCCGCTATAGCTCCAAGCACATGAAATGCTTTTAAATTTACAAGCTACAACTAAAAGGTAAGGTTTTTTGACCTGTTTTTAAGCATATTTGTGGTAGTTGTATAGAGCTGCAATTTATAACAGAAGCAGATAAAATGCGGGCAGATAAATTGGTTCTTGTTCTCCTTGTCCCTTTAAATGAACATTATTCCAACAATAAATTTGGAGCAGAAAAATAGTCGTTGGAAAATGGGCTTGGGGGGATTCGAACCAGGGATATTTCGCACCGTAGCTCATCTCACTATCCACTAGGTTACTGTGGCAGATCAAAGACAACCGTTCTTCGAAATGTTTGAAATGTAACTAGTGGACTAACTAGTTGACTAAATAAAAACATAAATACTGTGACGTCAGTGTTCCTCTCTCAGGAATAAACACAGTTTTCCCAAACGACTGAATTATTTCATGATATTGCTTCACTCACTCGCCCACAAAAAAATTCGCGTATGGGCGGGCGCTGGTTGTAATGCTGGGTACGAGTGAGTGAGGGCGCTCGTCTTATTCTGTAAAAAAAGAGGTCTTTTCAGTCACACATCGCTTTCAGTTACGGCGCTGCCGAGCGGGACTTCATAAGCGAATCTCAAAAGAAGAAGAGCATTGGGAATTATGAGCCTACATTTACGGACCCTTTTTGAAAAAAGGCTTTTGGGTAGGCCCTACTGGACAAATTCTACTGAAGCCCGGCCCATATTTATCTGTAATTGCCATTTGACTTTTTGTGAGCTGTAGACCCATAATGTGCACTCAATGTAAACGATGTGTGATAGCGGCTTTTGATTCAAAGTTTTCCATAAAACCACAGGGCGCCCTCTATTTGCAATTGGCATCCACTCACAAGGAGGAGATGAGTGCGTTACCGCAAGCTCGTTCCCATGTTGTTACCGTTATTCATGCTTTAAGTAATACAAAGAGCAGGATTATTCTTACGTTTTCCCCTCAAAATCAGACTACAAATTCAAATTCATTCGGATCCTTAACTGATAATGTGTTACCTTAAATTTTAGCTAAAATATTATATTCACCCCTTTAGTTTTTCTTGATAGTTCAAACTGTGTTAGAACCATTAAGCTTCCTTATTTTGTAAAGCGACATGCTTATATTCAATAGAGGAAGGCGCCCTCTGTTGACACTGAATTCTAGGCGTTATACAAACATTTTCAGGATCTAGGTCAAATAATCAAATCCAGATATCTCTCCAGACTCTTTCAAAATTCCGACCTTGCTTTACGACAATAAATATGCGGTATCGTAGTAGACCCCACGAGCATCAAGAATAGTGTTAAACTCTTTGACTACAAATATATTCATTTCTGGAATTATTCATGGAGAAAAGTAACGATTTCAAGCCGATATTGAGTAATTGCCGGTAGAGGGCGCTTTACAATCTATTTGGTGCTCATGGTGATTAAAAAATAGCCTTGTGGGTGTTTGCTGTTGTTTTAGAATTATTCCCTGATTTCAGGGATATTTCTTGTTGCCATAGTATCAATAAGTGTTCTCGCCTCTCCTCATTGGAGGTCTCATACGCTCATATTGCTCATATTGTCAGGGCGCCCTCATTCGCCAGGTGGTTATTGGTGTTTCCCAGGGGGATTTCATGCGTCATTTCATAATGCCCAAGGAAATCAGATCAAAGCCTGATTTTGCCCCCTCCTTTATCAAGACAAAATATTGCAATCGAATAAACTATTCATAAACGTGAAACTTAGACCCAAGTTCATGGGCGTCGCCAGGTTTTTTCCTAGAGGGGGGAAAAACATTTTTTCCCCCAAAAAAATTCTTGTATTTTTCAACATATTCTCGATTTATCAGTTTTAGAGGGGGGGGGGCATGAGCACCCCCCAGCCCATTGAATTTACACCATTATGACTTCGCGCCTTTTTTTCTTTTCTTTTTTCTCTTCCCCCCCTTTTTTTTGCTTTTCCAGGGGGGGGGGGGGCCAAGCGCCCCACCCCCTTGCCCCCTTCCCCCTCGCGACGCCCATGCCCAAGTTTAAGTTACAATTAAAAATGAGCTCTGAAATGTTTTGAGTAATTTTACTTCTTAAGTTTTGACACAATTATCAAGAATTTTTGTTTGAAGTATTGAATTGGGGGGGGGATTAACACTCAAAGCAAAGGTCATTGTAAAACATCTTTCCTTTTAGCTTTTGTGACTTTTATTTCTCTTTCAGATATGCCATAGATTATAATACAGACCTCTGAAGATTAATTGTAAGATTACTATAATCTTGTGCTCATTACATTTAATCTCGCATATCGTGCAGTGCAGATTTGTTTTTGTGCAGATGCCAGCAAAAGCAAGTTGCTATTAGAAAATATTAGTTTTAATTTGTGAACTTTATTTATGTACACGTCCTGACCAGCAGACATACTGGAAGTTTTGTTTATTTGAATAAAATAAAACTATAAAATAGAAGATAACCCATCAAATGTCGTTTTGTTTGTATCGGAAAGAATCACTTAGAATGTGATATAAGTTATCTTGGCAAAGTACATTCACACGTACCACTATGAGCCCATTTTTGTTTTGTTTTAAATTTGATAAATGTCAACCCGCTCAACGCCCCACAATCAACCAAACAAGAAAACTATCCCTTCGACTTCAATACTTCACCGCTCACAATCGGAACTTTATCAACAGAATGACGTTTCTCAAAAGTCCAGAAGGATGTGCTAAAGGATGACAAAGTTATCATTCGCGAATCATAGCAGGAGCAAAACTCGTAAAGAAAATTCAGCAAACTAAATTCTGCGCAACTTTTAAAATTACAGTTACATTTCTGAATATTTAAATACTAGGAAGACTGGTTACAATATGGGTCTCCATTCAAGGATTTGTGGGAATGGTTCCCCGCCTCCTTTGCTCGCCCCCGTGCGCTTGATTCTCAAATCAGCGCCCAGACTATCATCGGTTCAATTTCTCTTCTTGATGACGTAAACAGCCACGCCCGCGGCCACGCCTACAAGGGCAACCACGCCTACTACGATGCCGGCAGTTGTGCCCACATTAGATGAAGCTCCTACCATCTGCTCTGGGTCCGTTGATTGTTCTCCCCTGTCGTCGACCACTGTGGCTTGCCCACCGTTGTTCACGACGATCGGACGGCCGAAGCCACCTGCTTGATCCGGTGAGTCTATGTCGTCGATGCCATCGGGGGTATCTCCTACCTCGTTACCGCCTCCACCTGCTGCTGCCGCGTTTGGGCTGTTATCTGGCGAGTCAGGTGAATCAGGGGTATCACCGCCACCGTCATTGTTACGACTAGCACCACCGACCACGCCTATGGTCTCCCCTGCTGCTTCCAGCGCTCCGTCGACACCGTTGGAGCCGTCATTGGCGGCGAAGAATCCGGTTAATGCGGTCCCGCCGGTATTCCCCTCTCCGGAGCTGTCAGCTCGCCGGACTATCCTGGAGGCATCAAGACGTGCCAGGCAGCCTGAAAAGAGGAACAAACACATACAAACATCACACCTGTTATTACTTTGATCCACAATAATTATTGGTCAACATCGCTCCAAGATGTCTCCAGACGGGCCCACTCACATTAGTTTCAGTTTAGGAAACTAAATCTACAAATATAGTCAGAACCCAGAAGCCTTCAACAAAATGTGTTGAGTCACATTATGTTCCCATCTCCAGTTCCCTTGAGTAAAGTGTGCATTTTGGTGTTTTTTTGCAAACATGTAAACTATTACTAATCTAAGACGACGCAAGTGCGTCCCAGTTTTAGTCTTAGTGAGTCAGTGGATTCCACTATCTTTCACGAATTAAATAAATACAAGACTTCGGGTCGGATTCGAGGGAGTTTGTCAACATGAGGGGACATCCTCAATACCCAAATGACCAAAAATGGTAGATTGCTTTGAACCTTGCAAGTTGTTATTCCAAAAACAACAACAAGAATTGGCCTTTTAGACATGCTTTTTTATTTGAAAGCCAAAGGATCACTTGGTATTTTGACAGATTTGTATTGTGACTGCATGCAGGATAACGCGATCGGATATGTCATTGAAACACCCATTTTGATCGAAGATGATTTCACAAAACTATGTACCCTGTGGTGCAGTTTACATTTGATAAAAAGCAGGAGTCTTTCCAGCTTTAGGTATATTTTATGTCGCCATGAGAATTAATTCTCCCAATGTCTTCATTGACCCAACATTCAGAGTGAATTTTTTTTATTCCAATATACAAAAAAACCACGCAGATTTTGCGAGTAGCGTAATCTATTATGACTGAAAACAATGGCTGACTTACCAACAATGACTGCAACCACAAAAAGCCACTTCATCTTTGCTTCCTCTGCTTTCGAGCTACTTGAAGAACAGACTGAACGAGAAGAAATGACCCAGCACAGCAGCGAAAACCCCTTACTTATGACTGCCTCAGCGGATGTCGTCTGCTATTTCTGCAGTCGACACAGACCTATTGCTGACGCACCAACGTCTCCTATTGGCCGAGAAGCGCGTCTTTTTTTCCCAGGCCAGCCTAAACGCGGACTAATCTCGTTCCCCATTGGCTATTTTTGGCGGGTTTATGACCGAGCAACTTTGCACGTATCGATTGGGAGGAAACCAAGCCCTGTTGACAGGCGAATGCATACATGTTTATATTGTAAATGGGGTGAATTTACGTCAAACGAAGGAGAAACATAAAAACAAAAAACCTAGCTGGCTGACACAAGCGTTTATAAGAAACATTATCAAAGAGATGATGCCAAAATAAGAAAAGGAATTTGAAATCAGAGTTATTCGGAATAGGGCCTACCCCAACCCCAAACATCCCGAATTAATTCAAGCCACTGACGTCACTTGTCATTGCTTCAAAATTAAACGCATTCGTTTTGCTTGAAGCCAATCTTTTGTCAACCCAAGTCCTCAGAGTCAGAAACGACAAACAACAAAGAAATATCTGCTATAATTTGATCTGTTCACTGGTCCATCGACAAAATGACGGACAACACACACAAAGGGGTCGACCGGCAAACAGAATGACCAAACAAAGCTCGTCGAAAGATAACTGAATTACGACTTTTGTTTTCCAAATCTCTTTTCGAGGACTACATGGGCGTGTGCATGGGTGACAACGTTCCCTTATCAAACGGTTAATAGTTGAGACCTCAGACCATGTACGTAATGCATGTTTCTTTTTAGATCCATGCTGTCTAGCCGGTGCACCAGATAGACTTGGTTAAATCATTCCTTTGCTGAATGTGGTTCGTTGCGGTTTCTTCTGGAGTTTTGTGCACGAATGAAGCTTTTTGAGACAGATCTTGAATGCATGTTGTATGAACCTACCTGGAGAGTTAAGCGTGGCTCAGGTTAAAAGATGACGGTCAGGGTTTACAGTGACCGTACCGAAACGTTGAGTGAACACCACTGGTGCTGTTTAGAACCATTACTTTTTTAGAAATAAAGATTTACACTTTGAATTTGAAAAGTCACCCCTCCAAAAAGGCGAAATGTTACACAGTTCCAATACTCCAATATGCCTTTACCGTTCTTATAATCAACATGATTCCAAGGTCAGTTTCTCAGTATGATATGTCCTGCCTCTGTATTTTCAGTTCCCCTGGACATTTGAACAGTCCCACCCCTAAATATGGTCGCCAGCACCAGCCAAAATTAACTGAGTGTGAACAGCGCCTTGTGCGACGTGGGTGTATTAGTTCAGGGAAAGTTGAGGTTTAGAATTGTGACAAATGCTGATGATGATGCATGTGACTCTGAAACAGTCCAAACCACAAGGAGAAAGGAAAAGTCCTGGAGATCCCAGGTTAGTTGGAGAAAGAGTGCCAGAATTCATTGCCCCAAAATTCTTGCTCCAGAGCATTTCGCGACTTGTATGTGCTGTATCAGCTGACATCTGATATCTGTGCTGTATCACCTGATAGTGAAAATCACCTGACATTTTTAATGGAGTGAAATGTTTGTTATGGTTTCTGAGGCTGTTATTATTAACTTTTCATCTTGTCTTGATTCAATGTTACGGTTTCTTATTGATTTGGTCTTAACTCACTTTAAGACTTTTGTATGAAGTGCAATATTCGCAAACAGTACTATTTGGGAGATAGCGTCAGAAGTTATACCCTTGGGAGACAGGGGGCATTAAAGAGACATTCAAATGTCTCCCTAATGCCTCAGCTCCTAATTAGAGGCAACATTTTAATGTCGCAAATAGGCTAGGTCGATTGCTCGTGGTCCAATTAGTAAAATTACCGAAATTTGTGGGGGTAGGATAAGGGAAAGTTGGGGTTAACATTTTGTGCAAAAGTCTGTGGGAATGCTTCCCTAAGGTACCGCCTACGGTTACTATTATTATAAGCATAATTATTGCCGGTGTTTTCATTATCGAGGAAAGAAATTTTGAACATGATGTTCCATATTTTCACATTTCGGGGTGAAGGTTTATTTTGTCTATAGTCGAGGAAAGGGTGAAAAAAAACCCCACATCTCTGACCTGTCGTACAGATCCTTTTAATACCCATAATACCCATTGATGGCCCTTATCTCTCACACCAGACTTAAGTCTTCTTATTCTGCATCCCTTACTCGCGATATTAAGCAGTTAAGTTCCTCTCGACTCCTCATCTCCCTGGATTCCGGTCTTGTCTGAGTCATTCCTCCTCAGCCATAACTTCCATGTCCCCACACAGTTTGTTTTCCTGTCCGTGACAGTGGAATATCGAATCAATCCGGTTTGAAAGTCCTCCAAATCGAAACTTCGACGAATCATGCATGACACCCCAAAATAATAGGACCGATGTCTGTAAAGACATTACGAATTAAGTAACATCTTCTTTTGCTCTTTCTCAAACTGCGGGAGCAGCTACGGCTACTTTTATGTTTACGAAATCGTGGAGTGGAATAAAACGCTCTGGCTCGTGTGGCACCTATCTTTGAGACGGAATTATTATGTCAGGTATATGAAAAAGGAACCAGACGGGGGAATTCGCCACAAGCATGATCCTTGGTGAAGAATGTCGACGTAATGTCGCAGACATTACAAGAAATTACCCTTCGATGTTCGAAAAATTATTGTCCCCTAACTCACAGGGTTTTTTTTCCAGATGGAAGGGGATTAACACGGTCGTTCTAATTATATCTCAACCTATAATGAGATTGAAACATTTTGCTATGAACCACTGTACATTTCCAACCATGAAGTTTCGATTTCTTCTGAGTCCTACAATTCGTTGCAGAGCTGACATACCGGCGAATCGAGCATTTTGACGATTTTGAGATTTTGTTATTTTGGGGGTTTATAAAGGTTGCTCCTTCAAGTATTTATGCAAAAAATCTTAATTCTTGTCCGGATTTTGAGATTCAGAGCCCCCCCCCCCCCCGTGGCGAATCAGTCACAATAACAAATCCATTATATGACATAGTGACGAATACGGAATCGCGCTGGTAACCAGCTAATGTAAGGTATGCGTTCAAAGTACCAACGAATGTTATTCGTCAGTTTGTCAGATCGCGCGCGCGTGCACTCGCGATCCGACAAACTGACGAATAGCATATACAAACAGCGTGAAGAACAACCGGCTATTAGAGATTTGTGTAACTTGACAAACTGACGATCAAATAAAATCATATCTCTGATTAAATAAGTAACCTGATGGATACTACGTCTCCTATTTCATTTCGAATATACACCAAAAGGGTTATTATCGACAAATAAAGGGCAAAATACAACGCCCAGAAAAATGTCCAACTTCGTACGCGAATTACTCGAAACAGGCGTTTCGCTTAATCGTCGGTATGTCAGCTCTGCAACGAATTGTCAGGTGTTCCATCGCATTGCGTATTAAAAATGTTACGATGTTGTAATGACAAATTGATTATTTCCGTCCCAGCACGAAAGTTACTTGACTGTAGGCATGTATCGATCGTGAAAAAAAGAAAGAAAGTCATTTTTGTGACCTTACAGTAAAATCTAGACTTCCAGAATAGCGTGCCAAGGAAATGATAACTTTACTTTTTGGACAGGAGGTGTGGATTTGCTTCCAGGGCACTCGAAATTGTCCAGAAATAGTCGCTGAGTTTCTTGGATCGGTTTCAAGAAGTGATGGATAACGTAGAGTGAGTCAGCCGGGTGTCAGGTTTGTCAGGTGTCAGGTTTTTGTTTTTTCGAACGACCCCCCCCCCTAAAAAAAAAAACCAACATCGGCCACAGGTCCACTTTTTCCTCTCGATTGTGTATTTCCAGGCGTAATCAATGATTATTTATTACACATTAAACGGTCCATTTTATGGTGAAAAGGTCCAATTCATGGTCAAAACGACCCTCGCCTTCCACCAGGCTGGCTACGGCCCTGAGTCATCATCTTCACCCTGAGCAAGGATTTTCTCGTTAAATCAGTAGATACGTGTCCGGGTATTTGCAAATGTCCCTACGTGCCTTTAAATGAAATATTTGTATCACCCAATCTGTGTTGTAGTCCATCACAAGTCTGCACGGGGTCTACCCAATGTTCCCCAATACCTATGTTCCCCAAAATCCTTAAGGTTAGGGTTACGGTTAGGATTGGGTTATGGTTGGGGAACATAGGTACTGGGGAACATCAGTATTGGGGAACATAGGTATGCGCCCGTCTGCACAAGTCCATCATAAATCACCCAGTCAGAAGCTATGTCAAAGCATTACTGGCCGAATGGAAAAAAGAAAACGCAGAATTAGACCGTAATGAATAGTGGCCCTGAAGGGACGTCACACATCTCAAATATCTTTGCAAAGATTTGCGAAGATATTTGCGACATCGCAAGTATTATCGCAAAAATAATTGTGCTCAGATATTTGCTATAACATTTGCGACGTCGCAAATATTTTTGCATATATTTTACAAAGATATTTGCGACGTGTGATGTCTCTTCAGGGTTATGATAATAATGTGTGTGTGTCACTAAGGTATCACATTAGAGCCCATTCATGTGTTAGAAGTTGGCAGCCTCCCAGCCGATGAACGTATACATTGTACTGCATACAGACAGTTTGGTTGCTGAGTCTTGTCATGCCGTTTTCATGGCTCAATTTTATGGAGTTTCTAAGCATCAAATATTGCAGATTACCGTGCTAAGCTCAACAAGGGTGAATTTAGGACTCTATGAAATACGGACTCATTTGTAGTATTTCGCATACGTAAGTTTGATAATAGGAGAGTGACCGGCCACGTGAGAGGGTTTAACCAATAACAGGGTAAAGGTGTCCGATTTTCATGGGAGCCCGATTTTCATATGACACCGGCCCCATAGGATAGGCATTCACGATGGCAAGGTACTGAGTGTGGTAAATGAATGCGGTCCAATTAATGTGACAGGCCCAGATGTGGGATGAACCAAAGAAAATCTTGTCATCTTGGTCAAGAATCGTGCATGTAAGATGTCATCAAAGCATATTTTAAAAAAGTCAAAATTAACCTGAGCACCAAATACTAAAAGAGGGCGCTATACCAAGAACCTCTGAATGATGTCATGAGGTCACGGCTGCCAATTGTTGATATTTTTCTAAATGGTTGCGCTTTTCAATTTCTTTTGAAGGAGTTTCGGAAGAACTATGCAATAGTGATGGATCATGAGGAAGTGAGGTTGCAATATTTGAGGAAGTAGGCTGCTAGACTCACCTTGGAGGTATATTGTGACACAAATCGTCAGATGTAATAAATCAGCCGAGGTTGTAACTAGAGGAAAAGACCTAGAGTGAGGTTTGGGTGAGGATTCGCCAAGGATAGCTTTAAAGGATGTGGGGACACCGCCATAGTCCAAGGGCGGATCGTTCTGTCTGACAATTAAAGATATGCTACCAGAAAATTGTCCCAACTTTCCTTTTCGGAAACAACGCCATGTAATACTACAAATCTCTGTTCATTGCTGAAGACATTTGTCTCCTTAAGGGTTTCATGGCAACCCTTGAAGAAAAAAAACCCAGATCCTGTCTTGCGGACTCTCCCAATGGGTCCCCTGACTTCCTGTGTGATTTCACGTCGAAACATTTCCAAGAGCCACTAACATGTTTTTCATTCAATATGATCCACCTCCCACATAAAATTACTCAGAAAGAAAATGATTATTTTCGGACACCTGGTTATGTAAACTTTAAAGACTTGTTACCTAAACATGTTAAAGTTCAAGAATCTGAGAGCTTGGAGGCAAGGCGTGACTCACATCCGAGCACAGGGACCTAGCACTCGGAGACTCCCGGAAGGGTTTCTGCGTCCGAGATAAATCTGGACTCTGGGAAATAGAAGGCAGGGAGGGGAGGGGGCGAGGGTAGACGAAGACAAATACGTCCAGGCAATATGCTCCAAGCAAGGACGGAGCTGTGCATGAGATGAAAGAGGGTCGGGCAGTGGTTCACAGTTCAGTTCCTTTGGGTGCATGAGAAAGGGTCGTGTTGGGGGTTATTTTTACCCTTGACCAAAATATTCTCAGTCATAGATCTTTGGAGAAAGAGTTTGTGGTGACAAAACCCAATTTGATTTCCACAGGAGCCATTTGCACTGATGCATAAATGCTTTATTGCATTGTAGTCTTTGAAAAATCCGTAAACAAACCAAGATTTTCTCCTCTTTAATTGGCTGAGTTTTACCAGCATTGTCTTCCAAATTTTTCTGACAACCTGTGACCTCATTCTTGACCTCTGTCGCGCTCTTTGGCGAACCTTTCAGAATGAGGACCTTTTTATCGGCGGTCTGAGATGGAAAGCATTTTCTATGATTGTTTTAACGCAATTGATACAAAAATCAGAATATCTTGCCAACATTAACAATACGCGCACATTAGCAGGTCCCTCTAATGCCGATGGAAGGTTTAAAGAAAACTGCAAATGACCAGCATGGACCGGAAATTGATGGAACTGCAAGCCGAGGTCACACGAAGAAGACACGAGATTGAGATCTGAGAACTGGCACCGAGCCGAGATTTCAATAACACGATTTTAATGCCGATAGGACCATTTGCTTTCAAGCATTTTGTTCGTTTCCAATAGTAACACCACTCAAAATCCAAAGAAAGATGTTCAAAACTAACAGTCAAATTAAAGTTTCAGCAGAGTGGATATGACACTTTTCGAGAAAACAATGAAAACCCACGAACAGCCTTTTGATCGTGAAACACGATTTCGTCTATAGCGCACTCTTTATTTCCAAACATCAGTCAATCGACTGATCGTAGGAAATCACCTTCATTTCCTGATTTCTTCTAAATGACATCTAGTCAGATGTAATAATTTCACGGAGTGTATGCTCTCAGTACGATCTTAAATCCAAGTAAGCATTTAGATAATTATTCCGTAGGTAACTTTTGGGATAAATGCGGATGACCTTCTATGCCTTTAAATACAAGAAGAATGACATCATCTTAAGACACATGCAGTACATCTTTATATCTAATTCCCTCCGTACCTTTTCGACCTTATACACTTGTTCATTCTTGTCTGATCAGGAACCATATTTATAGGAACCCTAATTCACAGGTTCCGGACGGATGTGATTTGAAATATAGGAGCAAGAAGAAACAAAAAGGACATTTACAGACGGATACATGTGGATAACGGAAGGGGTGTGGGAAAATTTGAACTATGACATTCTCAAGATTCGTTTAACCCTCTCCCGGAACTTACGAAGATTCAGGTTAAAATTAAACGAGCAGTTCCACTAAAATAAGACTAGTATTTATTTTTAGTGAGAATACTTGTTTTGGGGTTGTAGGCCTACGGGTATTCATAACGGGTACATGAAGGGGTCAGGAAACGTCAATATGGTATCAATTTAACAGTAATTTGGGGAAGTAATGTATGCAGTTCACATTCAAAGACAGAATTTGGGGCCATGAAATGGAATTACAAATTTAGAAAATTCCGTCATAATTATTTCCATTGATAAATTTCACCTGATCATCAGAAACCACGCTGTCGGGAAATATGTGTATGCACAATAAACATATCAACACCGAATATCATCATTTTATTCAAACGTTCTTTTATTTAATTTAATCGATCTGCCTGAAAAATATCACGCAAATAATTCTGTTTATTTATTTTCAAGCAATCTTTATAGACATTATATACAAATACCGCCTGTGTAACTTTTTGCGTCGAAACTCAAGTATGTAAAACCACAGTTTTAAATGACAAAATGTAGTAAAAGTACAATATGTGTCAGAAAAATAACAAGTCATAATAATAACGACATCTCCTAAACGTTTACTGGGCAATAGATTTGACACATTTTCTTGAAACAATTGTTATCGATTGGGAAAATGACTGAGAAGACTTTTGACATGTCACATATGATGACATGAACTCCGGAAGTTGTCTCTACCCAGCAGAATTTTCGATGACTGATCTACTTCAAAAGATGCAATAATATTGGGTTTTAGGTTACAATTCAAAATTTGGATTTGGGTTCTTGTTATTGGGACCATGCAATGTATTTTTTAAAAATTTATTTCAGCACCAAAAATTGGCAGTATTTTGGATATTTGCTGTCGTACATTTTCTTTTCTGTCGTGATTCGTTGTTGTTTCAGTACATAGCAGTAAACCGATGGACCCAATTTTCTCACAGATATTTTCAATGAGCACACATTTTGTGGTTCACAAATTGAACAGAAAACCTTAAACTGAATAGTGTCTTCCTGAAATGACATCACAGCAACAGCGCCCTAAGTTGTCCGGAAAAGCGTTGAATATTTTAAATGTTTAATGAAGTGCACTTTTCAATAAACTAAACCAAAATGGGATGTCAAATATTTTTTTTTATACTTTAAAAGGAGTAGAAAGTTGCACAAAATGTGTTCCTCAGAATTTTTTTCATGGGCCCTTAAAACGAATGGTTGATGACCGGTTCAAAATTGGCCCACGATCCGTGACTCAAATTTCGAGTGCAGGTTTGATATGTGCTCAGACGCCAGATTACAAATGAATGTCGAACGAGATTTTATTGCTTTAATAGCATTGTTTAGTTGTTTTAGTAGAGAAGCCTATGTACATGTTCAGCCCAGCTTAACAATTATGAGAAGTAAGTGCTATAAAAGGTATCAGTCTTATAACTGGCAACAGATTTGTCAAAGGTTAAATCTTTAGTACAAAACTATTAGACGTGAAATTGAATCATAATTTGTTTTTTAGTTATCCTTTGCCGCAAAAAATCAAATGATCTCTTTCCCAATCAACCTAAGATTTCTTTGATAAATGCAGCATCTTTTGTAATGGCCTTTAAGTACAATTTACCTCCAACAATTATTTACAATTTTACAACAAAACGGAGTTGGCTTCTACCAATGCAACTGTCTTTTGGAAACCAATTCATTTGAAGCAGAAGAGGTTAAATACGATCGAAAACTGATATTGAGATTTGTTATAGTTTTTAATATTTAATTTTATGTTTTTTGGGTCGGTATAATTCACAGACTGCGATATTTCTCAGCGCCGTTGGCTATCATTGAAACTATGGTCGATCCCACACAGTCCGTGTCCCTATAATGTTCTGCAGGTGTTTTCAGGTGTTTTCTGCAGGTGTTTTCAGAGTTCGCATATATTTTGGTGATTAGTGAACATGTTGGCTGTTCCTTGCATGTTTATAACTCATTATTGGCCTGAGAATAGAATCGCATGAAACCATCCCTCCTCTTACGAATGGCGAAGATGATAGCAACGGTTGCCACGGAAACCAACAGGAGAACCCCAATGGCGATACCGGCTGACGTCCCGGCGCTGGAGTGATGCTTGTTGCTCTTGGGCTCGGCTTGGATCTGGGAGATTTTGCCAGCCACCAACATCCCGCCTCCTGACTTTGCCTCCCCACTGTTTTGGTCGCTTACGCCCTGGTTGCCCCCGGTTCCGGTTCCTTGTTGTCCTCTCCCCGTTTGCCCTCCGCCTTGAGGTGATCCACCGGCGGCCTGGCCGGCACCTACCACGGGTCCGCTGCCGGGCTGGGCAGTTCCGGTCGGTACACTACCGCCCACGACCACGCTGCTGTAGTCCACTCCCTCCTCGCTGCTGGAGCTAGAGGAGCTGGTTCCGGCTGGATCTGGAATGAAGAAGGAGCTACCCGTGCCACCTCCTTGAGGATTGGCATTGTTACCAGTCCGACCCTCATCCTGGTCGTCTGGGGTGTCCAGGTTGGCTGGCGGTTGGTCGAATGGCAAAGGATTGGCCCTCGCCATAGCAACTGGAGAAACAAGGAGAGCCAACAATTTATGTTCAACATCATTCGAAATGTCTCATCCATCGTCACAGTGCATCTTATCTTAAGACCGATGCTCGGTCCCGGAAGCGAATGCGAACGCGAATCCGTGACGTCACGGCAAGTATGCGCGCTGCGAATTACTCGAAAGTTGAACACAAAACTCCGGCGAATTTCGCATCGAATGCTTATTCCTGACGTCACACTCGCTTCGCATTCTCACCCGTGGAATTAACAGCTTTGGTCAAAATATTGGGCCACCGCTATCAAATGATCGAAAGGAGCAATGCCCCTAGCAATTTTTGGCAAGATATGCGCATCTACATGTAGAGTTGGAAAATGTGTGATTGCTTTGCAGTGTGAGCAGTGGCAGTTTTTTGTGTGTTATCACGTATACATTTTTTTTCTCAAAATGGCCGTCAATAAGTTTTTACCAGATTAATTATTTGTGGTAACAAGCATATTTTTTTGCCGCCATTTTTTTTTTAAAGTGACAGCACCCAAAAAGCTGCCACCGCTGCAATGCTATCACATATTTTCCAAATTGCATATCTTGCCAAAAATCACAATGAGCATTATTTCCCCCTCATTTTGATACCGAACAAACCCCCAGGCTGATGGCATATTGGTAATGAACAGTTTCACGACACTTTTGTGTCGATTAAAATAATTTGCGTTTCAAAATTAGGATACATTATTATGCACAAGTTCTTTTCATATTGAAACTTGTAACTTCTCATGAAATATGGTAAGCGTTTCCGACAAGACTGCTAATAAACGTTCATTAAGCCAGATTTAGAACACCAAAATGAACTGATCATTAGAATTCATTTCAAATATATTGACGAATAAAATTTCGCTAACAGTATAAGTAGGCATTGGAAAAAGGCCAGCAACTAACAATCAGTGCACAATTTAGACATGAAAACGTTTAACCTTATTAATAGACAATTCCCGATGTTGAAACAGAGTTTGCAAACTGATCAATCTTTTTCCCGCCATATTTGCTAATTCCTTTCGACTGAATCAACCGAAGTCATTCTTGGCAGTCTTTTTTTTTTCTATATATCCCAGGCACCAACTTCCTCTTTCCATCATATTGACTCATTCAGGTGAATATACCCTTCTGACCTTTCAACTCTTGACGAGCATGCGCAGTGAATTTCTGTTGCGCAGTTCTTATTTTAAAGCAGCTGGTATCCAAGCGGTTGCAACGGCACGTGACAGAATAGAAGTAAAGTTTATCTTACAAAAAATCGTGTAATTGAATCCAAGATTTCCTCTTCTTAATCAAGACAAAAGATTAAACCCCCTGTGCTGGAAATGTACAATGATATGGATATATTAGAAGTTTCATTTAGGGTTAAAATCTTTTAGTAAGTAAGAATGGCGTGCTATAATATACTGAAAATATGGCAAAATATTCTAATAACCTTGAAAAAACAATAGTTCGGCAACATGTGTATCGAAGGACTTTTTCACGGATCGTTATGTCAAAAATATCCATATTGACGAAATCATTCTAAACATATAAAGTAGGCTTCCGCCTAAGCCCGTTTTAGGGGGGAGGAGAGGGGCAAAACCAAGTTAAATGTCATGCTCTAGAGAAGGACAACTATACCATGGGTTGAGCTGTTGGGAAATGGATTCAATCGGCTCCACCTAAAGAGGCAAGCAGTTAAGGATGCTTGCATGTCCCTTTCGTCAAAATGGAAACTTTAAATCCCCCGCAACATACGTGACATGATAGATCTAGACACACAGAAGCGGGAGTGTAAGCCGTTGGGGAAGGAAGTCAGACTCTGCCGAGATTAAAGCTCCATCTAACAAGTAACGATTTGGGGAAGTGAGGGGAAGGGGGGGGGGGGGTCGAGCATTGGAACTTCCAGAAAGTACTTCTAGAGATGTTGATTGGAAACAGAATGGGTTTGAGATCTGAGATAATCAAGAAGTTTTACCCATGAAATCTGCAGGGAAGCTTTTTCCCTGTTCACTGAAAAAAATTAAAAAGTCGATTCCACTATCTCATTGATTGTTTTGTTTTTAATATACTGTGACCCTCTGTCCCGTGTTGTTGAAGGGACCCGTTGCCTACGAAACCATTTATTTCCCTGACTATCTTCAAGTCCCATGCCACTTGCAGAAACGATTGTCTGCACTGTGTAGACTAAAAACACCATATTCGTGAAGAAATATTATGATTTGAAGGAGTGGGAGCTATCTAAAATAACAAAATTAATGTTTAGAACCAGTAATACAGTGAGAAGAAAAAAAGAGAACCAGGATCAGGTTTTAGATAAAACACAAGGCCTTTTCAAGACAGGAGATCATGGCATTTTGTCCCTGAAGAAGGCAGTTTGCCGCATTGTCTGCCATAGCTCAGCAAGAGTGACTTTATCTATCACGTGGCTAACCTGTTGTCTTATATTTACTCAGCATCGAACGGAGCTTCGGGAAGTTTTGGTCGGTCCGGATAAGCGAGGACACGAAACGCTTTGAGCACGAAAATTGATTGATTCCATCCACATTATTTTATCTTCATAATTATAACACTGCATTTATTGCTTTATCGTTGAACTGAACACAGACATGGTAAAATACAAATATAAAAACTCCCCTTAACACGGACAAAAATGAATTGCATTAGCAAAACTTATCGACTCTAAATACATTTCAATACATGTTGTAGTATTTTTAAGAATCCAACAAGTTGAACTAGCTTTCACATGTAGCCAAGATTTCTATGATGTTACCTAATAAAGCCGTATTGTGCGAGGTCTGATGACAGACGGAATCATATTACGATATTTCAAATCGCGACGACTTGTGCTTTGCATCTTCAAGATCCATTGAATGACGAAGTGGTTCTTTGAAAGTTTTAAATATTCTTAGGCCAACTTCTTCATGATACTTAAAGATGTTGAGTGTAACGAAGGACTATTCAGACACTGTGATGTCACCTAAATTGACAGCCGATGTTTCAGGTGAAGCATTCGATATACACTGTCTCAATCGATGGAATATGGTTGCAATTAAATTTACCAAACTTATACCTCAGTGCAACAAAGAGCTAAGTCATTGCCAGTTATCGTGAGTTCTGGCGGGGTGCAAGCAGACCACATCTCATCAGCCTTCAAATTGTGCTCAATCGAAGTAACATTCCCAGGCCCCCGACTTGGAAAACCCTAACTGTGGAATTACTGTCTCTACCTACCCACGAACATCACACAGCACAAGAAACTCCTCATGATGGCTTCTCTTGCAGGTAGTTAGCCCGGCACACCGGTTAACAACAAACAAAGAAAACTCCCTGGGTTTCTAAAACTCGTATAGTGAGGCCGGCTTTTCCCGTAGTGTTTAAACGCAAAGGTTTACCGTGAAGTCTTATAAGCGAGCGCTGCACGCAGATCGCGAGGCACCAGTGAGTTTGTTATGCAGACGTCACAGCCTCCAGAGATTGTACGAGATGCACTTTTTGACAGGGACGCTCTCTCACGCCCAGGGACGCGCAAATCTCCATGCCAACAACTGCTTGTGTTTCTCATTTGTTTTCCTTATCTTCTTTTGTCAAATAATTAAGCTTGGTAAACAAAAATCATATGCGTCATCATTTTTTGTAAGATCCATAGCTTAACTACGGCAGGCCTACTTGCAGCATTTAAGGGTGAATTTTAAAGTGCACCATCATTTTTTAAAACTAAGATGCCTTGTTTTTTAAATCAAAATTTAAAGATCACTAAGTCAATTTTTTTGTTAAAAAGACCGGAAAACATCGGTTATTCATCATTTATAAAAATCACCAACACTGCAACATCGTCAAACTTGATACATCACCACTTTGGTAACCACTGTCTGATTTCGCTCGTAACCCCCCCCCCCCCCCCCGCCCTGCAAACAGGACGCTGGGATACTCTGATGAATACACACTCTGATTGGTTGGATTTTGCGTGACCTGTGACCTGCGCGTCATCACGGTCATGACTCTGCAACTTTTGAATCGACCGTTAAGACTGATTCATTACTCTGTTATTCCAGTTTAGAGATGGTTTTTTTCGTTGAAAAGCCGTAATAATGTAGGAAATTCTGTAAAACTAATCTGTGTTGAAAATTTACAATTCCCGTCACTTGCTCAGGCTCCGTTTCGAATCACGAACGGTCGGATTGCATTATGCGACGCTCAAAATTTTGTCCATATGGTCCGCAATGAAACAGAAATCACATCCGGTAAGGAATGCGCGTATTTCTATGGGAAGTTTTCGGATAGCATTTGCGCATATTGTCTAACTGCGGTCTTGAACAGCTGCAGCCAGATGCTTTATACATAGGTCATAGGCCACTTCCTTCACAAGATTCTGTGAAGCTCATCAGCGTATCCCAGCGTCCTGTTTGCAGGGCGGGGGGTACGAGCGAACTGTCTGATTACCTCATTGGTGACAGTTCGCAAGCGTGCCAATGGACTCGTATCGTCTATTGTTATCAGTATTGGTATACAATTAGCGTTTGATGTTATCCATATAGTGTTCCCATAAACGAATCGTCATCGTCACTTTCATTATCGATATAACCTCCGACGCCACACTCCCCATTAAAACGGTCACCATCGTCATCATCACAATTATCATTCCCATGATTCCCTTCTCACCATACTGACCATTCTCACCATCACCACGACCACCACAATCACCATCTTATCCCACTATCTCAGTCCCATCTACTGTGGGAAAGGCAGACGAGAGATGCAGGCATTTCCTCCGGTCACTTTTAGGAGACCTCAACAGAAGTTTAATTCCCTAGGCAGACACTGCGATGCACGGGGACCAGTGACGTGGGATTGGTCACGACCTTTGACTCTCTATAGTGCGGCCATTTTTTTATAAATTTCTTTTTCAATCACCTTCTTATAATTTCATTTCACCACGCCGACCCTCCCCTCCGTATACCACGTCCCTTGCTTCACCCTGACTCACACGTCACATAAAT